TTTTTTAAATGATTTTTTTTAAATAAAACAAAGATAAAAGGAAACGGTGAAATTACGAGTGAAATACTATGATTTTTAGTCAGAAAAAACAAATGAAATATTGTTTTGTTGTAAAATAAAAAATATATATTAAAGGTTCAAATAAATATAAACAAATCTATTAAGAGAAATAAGTAAGCTAATCTATTAAATTTTTTAGTATAATTTTACTTTAAATATTGCATTGTATTGAAACTTTTAATATATTTAAAAAAATAATAATAATGATATTATAATCTACATGAAATATGTTTTGTTATCATTAAAAAGTTAACACAACTAATAACAGTGATGACCTAGGCGGGGTGGGTGGTCACTCCCCTAAAATTTAAAATTATAATATTTTTAGATATTTTCTATGAATTTTTTTATTAAAAATATTTTCGTCTCCTCTAAAATTTATAATTCAAGTTCATCCCTTGAAATTTTATAAGTTTACATTCGTCCCCTAACATAAAATCATGAGCCAACCCCTGCTAATAATAACAAAAAAATGGATGGAATTAAAGTTTAAATATTAACTTAAGAGTAAACATTATCCACTTGAGGGAATGTGTCTAATCAAGGCATCAACTTAAAAATATAAATTGGAGTTATAAAAAAATATTATAAAGAAAAAAATATTATTTTGGTGCTCGGGACATAGATTCCCTATCTGCTGAAAATCATTTGACCACCATCATTTGTGGAGAGAAGTGAAATTGGAGTTATAAGAATAGAAAATGAATCAGAAACTAGGAAGTTGTATATTCATTCAGCCAAACAACCCTAAGATGTTCGACACGACAGAAATAGGCTGGCTACACCAAGAAAACATCGAGGCTGAAACCAGTCATAATTACCTCCTATACTTCATCACCTTCATTTCTATTCAAGAGAACATCTCTATACTTGTTGCTTATAGAAAAGAAAGTTCCAAATAGATATTATCTGTTAAAAAAAGCATGAGTAAATTTTCTATACAATTTAGCCTTTAATTTTAGATTAATTAATCAATTCAAATGGTCTTAGAATAGACAAACCAAACTGAAAGAGTAAATATTGCAAGCTTAACAACTTTACAACTTTTTAATGAAATTGAAAAGAAAGTAATATCAACGATTTCTCTGGATATGCATATCCAACATGATAGGGAAAAGGATCTTATAGGTCGATGCACGTTATAGATTCCATGTAACAACCTAACTAAATTACTAGTTCGTTGTTATGCATGCTATCCTCATCACTGTTTTTTTCAACAGAAATTTAAAAAGTTCAGGTGTAATATAGACTAGAATTCCTTGTAATGAGAAGGGAGTGAAAATAGGAGAATAATATATTTATAGCTTAAGAAAATTCATTACAGGGGCATAAACCCACACTAAGAAATAAAAGCATACCTTTAAGAAAGATGAGCAGAAGGTGAATCCTTGAAGAAGAAGAAAAAGAAATTACCGTTGGAAAAATACACGAGAATCAAGCCACCGGCTATTCCCTTTCAAGCTAAAACAATAACTTGCAAGTTCTTTGTCACAATAACTAACACAAAACCAAAAAAATAAAAAATAACGCGGATAATTATTTTATATCAAATTTTTAGACAAGAATAAATTAGAGCTAAAAATATTAAAAATACAAGCATCAAGTCAGATGTAGTTAGGGTGAGACGAAAATATCATTTCATTCAACATTTAAGTATATTGTATACTATCAAACATTTTTTATTCAAGTCAAAAGCAATATTACAAAGAAATCATGTATTTTTTGTGCTAGGAACACAAATTTCATGTCCCTTAAAATCATTTGGCCACAATCATTTGAGGGGAGATATTAAATTGGAGTTATAAGAATAGAGAATGAACCAGGAAGTATGAAGTTGTATATCCCAACAACCCCTCATATGTTCGGCACATCACAAATAGGTTGCACCAAGAAAACATCGAGGCTGAGACCAATCATAAGCTCCTCATATACTTCATCACCTTCTTCTCTATTCAAGGAATCTTTTTATATTTATAACTTACAAAAGAAATCAATATAAGAAATTTTCCATTAAAAAATACTACGACCATGTTTAGTTTTTTTAATAACGTAGAATTTAAAAGTATTATCCATCATTCTGGTTTTGTCTACGAATCCATAAAAATAGATTTGGCAATGCTTCTAAAAAGTACTATAAGAAAATGCATTTTAAAAGTTCTTAAAAGAAGTTGAGTTTAAAATTTTAGTGTTAAATATTTTAAATATATTAACTTAAAATATAGTAAAATAACTATTTTTTATAATTTATTTGTAATATTTTGATATAGTATAAAAATTTCTTTAAATTTTTTTAAGTATTTCACTTCACTATAAGGTCCCATGTTTGTTGCGTAGCTTTGAGCTACAAAGCATTCCCCCATCTGCAGTAAACATGCGAACATGTTGTGCATCTGCATCTAAGCTACCACTTACAAATCCCTGGATGTCAAAATTCAAGTGTAAAATAACCATTCTATAACCTATGAAAACTATAAGATTAACGTCTATGGAGTACACTAAGCAACATTCTAACATCAGACAATTACCTGATTAGCACTGTCAAAGAAGGGCAATAGCCCTTTAGATCTTATCAACTGTATGATTGCTCCCGTTGTTTAACAGTTGGATCAACACCCATTGACTTATGAGCACAGGCATGAAGAAGCACTATAGCTCCAGCAGGTACATCACCAAGAATTTAAAACCAAAAGCAAGCAATAAAAGGGAAATCGCATATTTTGTAGTAAGACATATGGAGAATAACTAAGTCTAAATCATGTACCGTATAAGCATGTTCTCACTCTCAATGCACCAATCAAAAGGAAATGATATATTGAAAACAGTAATTAATGAAGGCATTAATTTGTTTCCCCATCGTAAAAACTTTCAAATGGTTTCCCCGTGATGGCAGTGGAATGTATATAATACGATGGCAAATAAAAGATGGGCAAAAGAAGCATTTAGTGCTCCTCAAATAATAACTCACTAGAACACAAATTAGAAACAGAAGAAGACTGTGCACTATTAATTGCTTTGCTAAAAGCTCAGCTCCAACCCTCAAGGAACCAGTACCAGACAAGCACTGATCATTAGTCATTATGTTCTCTTGAATAGCTATCAATAATACCTATTCAATAATTGTTTCAAATGTAATTTCTTACCTTGGTATCTCCAGATTGAATTTTGATATATATCGAAAGCAGTTGATAGCAACTAACAACTCATCATCAGAACTTGTGAATACTTTAGTAATGAGAGGCTCACCAGGGAGTCCTTCCTTCGCGTGTTCCTGACGACAAGGTATGGCGCGTATGAAGGTATACAACAGTTTCAAGCTCTCCAATCTACAATCTATATAAAATCAGGAGAGCAAGTCATCATCATAGATCACACAAACGTGTTATCTGAACTCACATATTCTATGGTTTAGGGAGATTTAAAGAGGTTATACAGTTTGCTTTTGGAAACTATTTTCCTTGTTTGCTCCACACATCCATATTATGAACACACAATCAGGATTTGAGGTGGAAAATATTTGATTGAGTAATCCATTAGAAAAGAATGAAAATGCAAACCAGAAAAAACAAAAATCATGAAATAGATAATTTGTGTAAAATTCACCACAGGGGCCAAAACCCACATTAGGAACCAAAAGCATCACAAACTAAATGAAAATCCACAAAGCATAACTACCTGCTTGATTTATTTACATCAAAAAGTTAGGAAAACCTAGAATCTAACACTGTAATACTCGAGGTATCCATGAATCAAATATCAAATCAAAAGCCTAAACCCCATCCTCTGTAGACCACTCACGAAAATTATGAGGAGAAAACCAAAAAAAAATAATAATAACATACCTTGAATCTTCAAAAGAGCAGAAGGTGAATCCTTCAACAAGAAGAAGCGGATCCCATTCCCTCCTTATTTTTTCTGCCAATGGAGACTTTAAAAAGAAGCGGATCCCATTCCCTCCTTATTTTTTCTGCCAAACGGAGACTTTAAAAAGAAACAGTGCCGACTCAAGGGCTGTTTTGGTCCTGCTGTAAGTGTAACGGCTCTTTTTACTATTAATTATTATTATTATTATTATTTTACTATTAATTTAACTTTTTAAATCTTAATGTTTTTTTTTGGATAAAAGCTTATTAGATTATTGTTCAAAATTTTAATTTAGATTTATTTTCTACGAGATATAATTGTATTTGCATAGTTTATATATTAATTGTTCAATAGTAATTAATAATTTACTATTATTTCAAGTATTTTTTTTAAATTCATAATATAATAAGTTGAATTGTCCGAATAAGTTGATAATTTTTTAAATAAATATTATCTCGTAATCACTTTTAGATTAATCATATACTATATACATACGTTAGGGTCTAATTACATAGTGCTCTAACTATATAATGTAAAACTTTTTAGTTTTATACATTTTAAGATCGTTGGATAAGGGAAAATCAAATATTGAGATTAACAGTGAGAAATGAGAAGATATTCGCTGGAAAAACATAAGAAGTTAGTCTCAGACTTTGATTTTTTTCAATACAACAGTCCTAAAAAATATGTAAAACTTTTATTGGAGGAGAAATCACAGGTTAAAATTAATTTATTATTATTTTCTGTGAATATTTCTCATTTTTTATTATTAATTTTAAATTTTAATTTCTTTTATATTATAGTTTTAAAAAGGTTTACACAGTGTAACTGGATTATATCGTATATATATATAATTAACTTACTCAAAGAATTAAATAATTATATAGATGTAGATGTATTTGTACGCATGTATATGTACTACTTAAAATTTACATCACAATCCTTGATGTTTTCATTCCAAGTTTCCAACGCATCAAACTTTCTAGAAATTGCATTGAAGTCCTTTTCGAACCGGTTTAGTTTGGACCGTTCGGTATAAAATAATAAAAAAAACCACTTCTCTTTGCATTTATCAAATCTCTGCATATTGATTCCCTAATCAAATCTCCTTCTCTTTAATTAAGCCTTCAACGGTTTAACCGTTGTTCTGAAGCAACGAAGGTGAAAGAAGAACAACCTTTAATACCTCTTCTGCAGGTGAAAACAACATTGTTTTTAATTCTGGGTTTTGTTTAAAAATGGTTGCTATCTTTGGTTCCAAGTTATATCGTCAAAGCCTGTCAATTTATTCTTTTTTCTTCTCTTTTTTTAACTTTCGTTGATTTCTCAGTTTTGTTTCCCTTCTTAGATGTGTTTTTGTTTGTTTATTTGAAGCTTGGGATGATGGTTTATTCTTGCCTTTGTTCAATTTGTAAATGCTTGTTTTGCTCATCAATGTAGTAAAAAAATTATGGGTAAATATCTGATTTGATTGTGGTTACGAACCCAACTTTGTTTTTGTGATTATGCTATTCGTTGTTTGTTTGTTTTTTTGGTTATTGGTGAAAATCATGTAAATTGAATTTCTTTTTTCCTCGGTAAATCTGATGAATGATGGGGTTCTTGTTTTGCGACCTTCACATGTTTGTATGCTTGAAATGGAGCTAAATGAGTATAGTTCTTCTTCAATTCTTTTGTCTTTGAGATGTTAATTGAGTGTGGTTTGTTGATTTTACAGCGAATCTAATTAGGATTTTTGTTTATTAGAGCAGGAGAAAAGTTAAGAGAGGAAACTTAGATTCAATCACTGAAAGCTTATTGTTCGATGGAGACCGGAGGGAATTCGTTACCTTCGGGGACCGACGGCGTGAAGAGGAAGGTGTGCTATTTCTACGACCCGGAGGTGGGGAACTATTATTATGGCCAAGGTCACCCTATGAAGCCTCACAGAATTCGAATGACTCATGCCCTTCTAGCACACTATGGGCTGCTTCAGCATATGCAAGTTCACAAGCCCTTCCCTGCTAGGGATCGGGATCTTTGCCGCTTCCATGCTGATGACTATGTGAACTTTCTCCGCAGCGTAACCCCTGAAACACAGCAAGATCAACTCAGACAGCTCAAGCGCTTTAATGTTGGTGAGGATTGTCCAGTCTTTGATGGCCTTTACTCCTTCTGTCAAACTTATGCAGGTGGCTCCGTTGGTGGTGCTGTCAAATTAAACCATGGTCTATGTGACATTGCCATTAACTGGGCTGGTGGCCTGCATCATGCAAAGAAGTGTGAGGCCTCGGGCTTTTGCTATGTCAATGATATTGTCCTTGCCATTCTGGAACTTCTTAAGCAGCATCAGGTATATCTTTGATACCTAATTTCCTTCTACGCTTTCTATCTGACTTTTCTCGACTGATTTAGTAATTTTTTGTTTGTTTTTTGTGCACGAGTAAACTCTTCATAACGAAATCAATATCTAATTATTTCCTTCTTGTACCAATCTTATCCTGTCTGATATGATATGTGTTGACCTTAATGACTGGTACTCCTAGGGTCTACGGTTTTTTGTTTCTGCATGGGGAACAGTTTTTCACGGAATAGTCTGTCATTGATAATGCTTTTCCTTTACCTTTGTTGTAGCGTGTTCTATATGTCGATATTGATATCCACCATGGAGATGGTGTGGAGGAGGCATTTTATACAACTGACAGGGTCATGACTGTTTCATTTCATAAATTTGGAGATTATTTTCCCGGTACGGGTGATATACGTGATATCGGATATTCAAAAGGGAAATACTATTGCCTCAATGTTCCTTTGGATGACGGGATCGATGATGAGAGTTATCATTACCTGTTTAAACCAATCATCAGTAAAGTTATGGAAGTTTTTAAGCCTGGTGCTGTGGTTCTTCAATGTGGTGCCGACTCTCTATCTGGAGATCGGTTGGGGTGTTTCAATCTTTCAATCAAGGGTCACGCGGAGTGTGTTAAATTTATGAGATCATTCAATGTCCCGTTATTGCTTCTAGGTGGTGGCGGGTATACCATTAGGAATGTTGCTCGCTGTTGGTGCTATGAGGTAGCCGACCTATCACTTTTTCTATTGAATAATATATACTGATCGGTTAAGTGATTGGCCTACCGATTTTTTATCAAATGTTAATTTGCTTGTGGTGGGTTACTTTGTTAATGTGAGCAGACAGGAGTTGCACTTGGAATGGAAGTTGACGACAAGATGCCTCAGCACGAGTATTACGAGTATTTCGGTCCAGATTATACTCTTCATGTTGCCCCTAGTAACATGGAAAACAAAAACTCACGCCGGTTACTCGAAGAAATTCGTAATAGGCTACTCGACAATCTCTCAAAGCTTCAGCATTCGCCAAGTGTCCATTTTCAAGAAAGGCCACCTGATACGGAGCTTCCTGAGGTGTGTTCCGCTGCTACTTCTTATTTTATAGTAATCTTGCAATACCGGAGGAAATTTATTACATTTTCCATTCTAAGTTTTCCGGTTTTACCCAGAATTGCATGTGCTTTTATTATGTATCCATGGTTGGCATTGCACATTTTACTTAAATATTTTTTCCTTTCTATGTTCGGGACATTAGACATTCACGACTGCCTGCTTAAACAACTAAAGCGATTCGTAAAGCGGGTTATTTTGCTCGAATTTGAGAAAACAATCGTGCTATATGTTCTTTTTGGAGCGAAAATCGTCTTTATTCTGCCCGCGTAATGGTTGTAGTTTGCATCGATACATTTCCTTCAGTTTCTTGATGTTACATATTAGCTTCATATCAACTTTGCCCTCAAACTTGGTTTCTTTTTTGTTCATATTATTCAGGCTGATGAAGATCAAGATGATGGAGATGAAAGATGGGACTCGGATTCAGACATGGACGTTGATGAGGACCGGTATTTATCTTTCTTTCTTCCTTTTCCCTTTTTCAGGTTTTACACACCCAACTGGCCAACTGTTTCTGATTGCGTTCTTTTTTCGTCTTTGCGGTTCACTCGTCACATTGATTCAGTAAGCTCATTCCAAGTAGAGTAAAGAGAGAAGTGATCAGGCCAGATACGAAAGATACGGTACGCTCTATGTTACGATGTCGAATTTCGTGATTGTGAGATTTAGGCATTTATGAAGAGATTTATTTATTTCTACGAAAAACTTTTATCGGATTTGTTCTCTTAGCAGGTCCAAAAAGGAACAGTTGAGCAAGCTAGAGGATCTGTGACAGATGAGACTGTAAGTACAAATATGAACTTTTGGAACATAAAAGCACCATAACACGCCTTTGCACTCATATCCAATGTTGTTCCGATCTTTCATTTTCTTTTTAAGTACCACTGTACTGCACCCGTATTCGACACATATTTTGGATCCGTATTTGGACACACACTCGTATCCAATACTCACCCTAGAGCTCTAGTATATCATATATAACCGCAATCACATTCGGAAACTGATACGAAAACTCTTGAGAAGTTGTTTTGATGCTTGTTTTTCTCAGGGTGTAGATGTCAGTCCAATGCCGATCGATGAACCAACTGTGAAAGTCGAGTAAGAAACAACAATAAAGCATCCGATCCGATGTACCCGAGGACCGAAGCAAAATCGTCTGCTTCAGGTACCGGATGTATTTCGTGCCATTTCGGTTTATCAAACATTATAAGACCTCACGTTCATGGATAAGTCTAAATTTGTACAAGGCATGGAAACCTGAAAACGATTGGGATTTATATTATAGCTGCTTCAAGTTGTATATCAAACAGTTTAGAGTGTCGATTATCAAAGTTCCAGATTGAAGTTCAAACAGTTTTAAGACTAGTAGATGCAGTCTATGTTGTTTCGATTATTCGATTTTCTAAAAAAAAGGTATATCGAGTTTTTTTAGTCGATTCGAATTTATAAAGTTCAAATAATCGAAAACTCGGAATTAAAACTACATTTTAGTCTTAGCTAAGTGGTTTAATTATTTTGTGATTTGATTACTTAGTTTAAGCTCTTTTTAATCAAATTTGAGTCATATATTTCCAACTACCGTGGATTACATATAAGATATAACTTCAATACCTCTTTTCGATAATTTTTTTCTTTTTGTAATTTAGTCTCTTATATTTTTATTTTATTCAATTTGATCCCAAAACTACCTATTTGTAAAAAAAATTCTTATTAATTCATTGATTCCTTTAATTCTCAAATCAATGGTTTATCTTTAAAATTTATTTTTAAACAAAGGGCAAAGAACGTAAATAGTTCCCTGACAATAAGTTATTGCTTTATTAAGTCCTTCGACTATTAAAAGTTACAAAATGATCCTTTGACTATAGAGTGTTGATTTGTTGAGTCCATTGACTATTAAAAGTTATAAAATGGTCACTCGACTATTCATTATATTCTAAACTCATCATTTTCTGTTAAAAAATGGACGATATTCTGGCTTAACATGAACTTGTTGATTGTGATATGATAAAATTTGATCTCAAAATCTTAAACGATCATTACATCTCAGTCATCATGTTAACATCCAACTTAAACAACTGTCAATTTTTTAACAGAAAATGACGATTCTAGAATATAATAAATAGTTGAATGATCATTTTGTAACTTTGAATAGTGAGGAATTTAATAAAATAATACCCTATAGTCGGTGAACCATTTGCGTTCTTACCCTTAAAAAATATTATAAACATATTATATAATTTTAAATCATATTTGATATACTGAATAATGTTACACTTTGTGTAAGTTCGAATTTTAATATTTAATTTTACAATGTTATATTTCTCTATTTAATAAAAAAAATAACATTACAAATGTTATATATAAATAAGAACATATTCAATTTATCGAGGCTGTCATTTCCTATATAAAAAAAAATATAAAACTATATATGTTGTATATGGTTAGGGATATAAGAAAAAAAGGAACATAAAAATATGTTTGTTGTATTTGGTTAGAGTAGAGATGATTATGAGTCGGATTGAGTTATTGAGTTGGTTTAAATGGTAATTAGTTTGATATCGTTTAAACAAAGTCTTGATTTTGAGTCTTTGTGTATGTAGAAAATTCATGTTAGGATACTTACTCACTAAAGTCAGGTGTGCGATGTAGGTCAATATAAAGAAGGCAATAGAAAATTAATAACTCATTATTTATAATCGTATAGATATTTTTTGAAAAGTTTGTGGTAATTATAATGTAATACTTTTTTAAAAAGAAATTAGTTTATTGATTTTTTTTGTATAACCATCAATATCCGATCTATTAATCAAATAATCCGGATCGAGTACTGTAAAGGCAATGGCAACCCTCAACCATGTTTACTACATTCAAAATCATCAGGTATTCAAACATTTGACCTTACTTAAGGGATTCAATACTTCATTTCACTAAACTAACTGGTTGTTGATATTTTAAAATTAGATTACCCTTATTCCCATATGTAATGGGGTAAGGGGAGGTAGGATAGTAGGCTGCCCCCAACGCCAGGTTGAGAACAGCTTCCGTAAGAGACCTCCGACAACCCTCAACCATGTTTACTACATTCAAAATCATCAGGATTCAAACATTTGACCTTACTTAAGTGATTCAATACTTCATTTCACTAAACTAACTGGTTGTTGATATTTTAAAATTAGCTTACCCTTATTCCCATATGTAATGGGGTAAGGGGGAGGTAGGATAGTAGGCTGCCCCCAACGCCAGGTTGAGAGCAGCTTCCGTAAAAGACCTCCAAATTATGAAATACCCTCCGTAAGACTCGATCCCACGACCCCAAAATTAAGAGCCTTGTGCTCTACCAACTGAGCTGGATGATCATTTCTGGTTGTTGATATTTTAGTATATCGATAATGTATATTCTACATACATAATTACTAAAACTCAATTTTTTTAAAATAAAATAATATTTTTTATTACTGAAATCACTTAAATCAGATCTATATTTCTATATTCAAATATTCTAATATTCGTATATAGATAAAAAAAATCTTTTAAAGGACAGTTCTTCTATTTGAAGTGAAAGAGACAATATGTTGAACAGAAGATTGACTTGTGGGTGCCCACAGAAAACAATGAATACACGTCCCTATCACCATACGAAGATCATCACAGTAAAGATCAACCTTCAATTTCCCAATTAAATTATTCTTATTTTGCTTTTTTTTCCACAATATAATACCTATATTTATCGAACATTTTATATTTATATTTGTCAAACATAGCACAATAATATCCATATTAATAACTTAAAAATAATAAACAAATAATTTTCTACATTGAACAAATCAATATTTAAAATTAAAAAAAAAGACAACATACAAATCTAAGACTGAGATTTGCCTAGCTCAACGTCCTTGGGTGGAGATGAACCGTCCGATTGCTGCTGCTTCAACAATTCAACGTTTTCTTCAGGAGAATCTTTGGGCAGTGTTGAAGCCTTGGCTTCAGTTTGTTATCAGCCTCAACTGCCCAGCTGTAAACTACCATGCCGAGGATCGCAATCGCCATCCCCAGTATGTTTTTCAGCGTCAGCTCCGAATCAAACAGTAGCCATCCCAATATCAGTACGCAGACCGTTTTCATGTGCCCTAGGACCTGGAACGACGTCGCGGAGAATCGTCCGATGCAAAGGTACTGACTAATATTGCAGAATACCGCCAACGAGCACGAAAGTAGTATGAAAAACTGCATTGTTAACAATCAGCCCATAGTCATATCAGTATTTTTCATGACAAGTCTTGGTACCATATAGTGTTCGTGCATATAGGTGAGCGAAAATGGTGTGCAGTGCTTTGATGAGACAAGGAGTACTTACGAGTGCAGATGAGGAGAACTTATAACTTGCCAGCAATTTTCCGGTGAGGTAGTAATCAACGAAGGGACCGAACAATAAAAGAGACAAAGCTTGGATCGGAGCTGTTTGACTAAGCAATTCAAATGAGCCTATCGAGTATTTCTTCTGTAGGGAGCCAATTGACTGTTCCAACAAAAGCATGATTGATTACACAGTAGGTAGAACGATCAAAGATGGATTATTAAAACGTTTGGCTAGATCCTCTAAGATATAGATCACTAGAAGATGCGGTATGAAACAGTCGTGTTCACATTAACGTAGAAGAGACATGCAACCGTGTTTTAAATAACCATACTTAAACAAAAAACGAGCTTTCAAAACATCTGGCATTCATCAGACATAATTGTTATGATGGGTGGAAGGCTTTATCCTATTATGCACTGTAATCATAAGGCATCCGAAAAGGATAAATGAAAAACGGCGAATGAGAAATGCTTACAATTTGTTGTAACGAGGTAGACAGGATGGCGACACAAGCACAAATAAATCCTTGCGCATTAACTTTTACATCCGTGACTGTACAAACACCGACACCAACAACCACTACCACAACGGCAATCTTGACTTTGTCCGAGTAGTGTTTACCGTGTAGTATCCATTCCATCACACAGACAACAGGAATCATACTAAGCTTTGAAATCTGTATCATAATGATAAACAAAAGGGTTAGCTTCGAAATCCATACCATGACGATAATCGAAAGGGGTTTGAGATCTGTATCACAATGACAATGGCATAGATGGAATACATGAAATCTACATCACAATGACAGTGAAACCTAATATTGATGCTTCTTTCTGGTATAGCATTTCTTTTACCTGATAAAATCCAACAGAATTCAGCATGAGACTCAAATTCATCCCGGTGATCGAAGTATTAGCGACGACAGAGAACCAAAGAAGCTCCCATAGAGGAACTTTTTTCCTCGTCGAGTGACCGGTGGCATTCGATACCAAGCCGATTAAGGCGGTCATAGAAAAGTGAAACCCGGTTAATGTAGTAGCTGTAAATGCAAGAGAAATATGTTCAGATTTACACAAACACAGAATTCAACTCATCATTCATCGAAGGTTCAAAACATTTGAAGTTAAGAAATCAAACTAAATTGGATCAAAAGCAATTCTAGAGATTCTCATTCTAAAGAATGATCATGCACGTTAAGATCTGGAAGCACAGTCGTAATAAAAGAGATTTGGGATCTGAATTAGCCCTTTACAGGATAAGATCTGAATTTCAAAGTCCCATAATCCATGGCCCAAGTTAAAGTCAATGGAGCTCTCTTCTTCGGTAAAAAAACAACAAATCTCCAACTAAAAATCCATCTTTTCCCAGAACCCAAAAAAGATAAGAAGCCAACAAATAAAAAAAATCTGGGAAATTCAATGGATCTGCCAGAGGTTTAAAAATGGGGGAAATCGATCCAGATCTGAGACGAATAGAACAAAAAAAAAACTTGAGCATGTAAAAGAAAATTCAAAGAACGCACCAAAGACGAAGGCGTAGCCGGCAGGGGACATGAGCTGCTTGTTAGCCATAATAAGGCCAACGGAGCTGATAACGTTCATAGCCCAAGCTCCCACATCGGACACCCCCGATGATTGTTTCTTCACCACATCCATTTCTGGAGAAAAAAATCAAAACAAAAAAGAGAAAAAAGATTGAAACTTTTTTTTGGCGCTCGGTTGGATTCTAGGACAGACAGAGATCTAAAAGCGCCACCGAGCACACACACAGTGTCTCTCCCACCTCCCCCACACCGCCGATTCTTGTAGGCGGATTCTATAAGAACCAAAAATAATACACACAATCTATATATATATATATATATATATATATATATATATATATATATATATATATATATATATAATAAACTTCTAGTCCTAGTAATAAATATTTTTGTTAGTAATAATTATTTTGTATTATTATATAAATAATTTATAT